AGAATATTTGAGCGAACTATTGTTTTCAATATCTTCATCATCAGGCTCTGCAGTTATAAGTCCATAATTTATAATATTTTACAAATGCCAAAAAATCATATATCTTTGACTGGACTTCAAAGGGGACACAGCGCGTAATATTTTAACACGTCGATTGAAAAGATCTGTTTCACGGAAGTTTCACGCCGCCAACCTACACATAATTTTCTCAACTAAACCAGCACTCACACAACTAGTCCAGGATAGGTTACCGAAGATGGGCTCCTTTGTGTGTGTATACCAACTTAACTGCTCCTATATAACAGGCCGTACTCAGAGGGCTTTATCCTTGCGTGTTTGTGAACATGTACCATCATGGTTGGGAAAAGGAGTCATCAAATCGATTAACAGCACCATTCTTTTCTCACCTGGTAGATAGCGAACACCATATCAAAATACAGGAAGCTCTTTCTGTTTTATATCAAGTTCCGAAAAATCTATCTCAAGGAGCTAGATTACGTTACTCTACATAGTCGAAGCCATCTGGATCAACTCCAGGAAACCAAATTTATGTATCCAGAAAAGGTATATTCAGTCTCTATGTTTACCTTGGCCTACGACTGGATCACCGGATACATCAATTGAATGTTATAAACCTCTTACCCCCCTTTTTTAAATATTTTTTGATTGCCTCTTTCTTAATCTTCACATTCATCATTCCTAATTCGTATATCGTAATCACCTTGATAACACCCCTCTTATTACGTTTTATATTCATACAACAATATTATCACTATTATTATTACTATTTATCATTATTATCTCAATTAAAAAGATGAGACTCTCCTGCTATGAATTTTATTCACACGATTTTTTAAATTTTCATTTCTGCTATATTACTATTATACTGATTGTGACTTGACACTTTACCCCAAATCATTTTAACCTTTATTAAATGACCTTTGTAGTTTACAATTTTGAAGCATATATGTTGTAACAGATGCAAACGTTCACCATTTTTAACATATAACATTGTCAAGTTAATTAATACGTGCTTCATTTTGACCTTTAAAATATCATAATTATGGACTTAAAACTGCAGAGCCTGATGATGAAGTTATTGAAAACAAATGTTCGCTGAAATATTCTTAAACTGCCGAAATCCGGTGAGCAAACATTTGCACTGAAGAGACTCAATGAGTACCTGAAGTATAGTGCGAAACTCACGGAAGCGAAAACCGATCTGGATTTTATCAGTAATTGCACTGTTACACCAAAATGCCCTGGTACGACCGAGAGTAGGGAGAGTCCGCTCTCCCTCTCGAAATACTCTCACATGGCCACGCGAATATATAGCCTCTTCCACGGAAGTCCCACTCACTGCCTTCTCGTGGCACTACTGTTGTTTACCAAATTGAGAGGACGAAAAGCGAATGTCAGGCGCTTTAACCGGGTTGGTGGATGTGGAGGATCCACCTAGGGGAGTTGGAAAACCCTGATTCCAAACCAATGGTGCACATGGACTCCAGTATCCTGAGGGAACAAATGGCGTATGAACCAATCGTTGGTCATCGGCTACCATGGGACTGCATTTCCTCACGATGCTTCACTGCCTTGTGGATCAGACTTTTAGGTCAAAGGCTCCGGATGTGGCCCCCTAAGGAAACCACCTGCTTCAGTTTGGGCATCTGGGCAGTATCTCAGCCCTGTCACAAATCGAATGAGATTTGTGCGGCGCATATGTATTCGGTACCCCTTTGTACCAATATTTATGTGTTTAAATAAAATTAAATTAAATTAATCAAATCAAATCTCCTCAAATGTATATTGTTGAGTTAGAAAGGAATATTACACAGAGATTATATGCCATTATTGAAAACAATTGTTCGCTCATATATTCTTCATTTTTATTATCATTGTCTCATAAACTGCCTTGATCATTTGAATAATTTTATATCTGCATCCAGTAATTATATAAATTCGAGTAAAGCCTGATGTGTATCCAATCGAAAACAATATTGTTCGCTTATAAATGTTGTTCTAATAAACAATTGATTGTAAAGCTTTCATTCTCTAACTCAACATTATGATCATCACTCAATGGAATAACATTTACAATGGTATCCTTATTGGTATTTACATGAGAAGTCGATACAAGTGTGGTGTGGTCTACTTATATCCATATAAGTAGTATATGGTGTGGGTCAGACATAGAATGTATTTTGGCAGAAGACCGATGACGAAAGAACTGAAATGAAACGCAAACGTCTGGAAAATGCATGAGCAATGGAATAAGAGAAGAAACAGTGAAGATTGAAACAATTGGTTGTTAATTTGCAAACTGACTGTTCATTGTTTGGTAATCAGAATTTATTGAGATAGTCTGTAATCTTTGCTTAAATACATTCGATTGTCCCCAGTCGTGTTTTGTTCACTACACAAGTACATTTTTGTAAAGATTTTCCAGCTCTACATATCTCAGTAACCATCTATTTACCTAACCGACATGTTTAAGAAAAAAGCTAGTTTTCTTTTAACACTGATTATTTAACTCATAAATATAGAGTTTACTTCACGGCGCCTATATAGTACCTTTCATTCCGATGAATTAAAAAAATAGATATTTTATTTATTTTTATTCATCAAATCAATCTGTTTTGCAATCTTGAACAGATTTCAAATTCAATTGTTTTTATGTGCTTATCTATGTGTGGAATCTGAAAAGTATTTAACTTTCAAGATTTTTCCAATGATGTGTTCACCTACTTAATTAAAAAATATCCAGAAATTTCCCAACAAATGATAGTTGGAAAAATAAAATGGAAGGGCATCAGCTGTGACACCGTCAATCATTAGTTTGGAGAACTCGCTTTAATCTTCCGACTACCTATTGATAATGATATCGTGTGAATATAACATGTAAAAAGAGAAAAGCTGTGAAGGTAACTATGATTGAAATGAATGCAAATCGGGGTGTGAGGGGTTTATAATATTCAGTTTAGGTATATGTTGACCCAGTCCTACTGTAGGCTTTATTCACACGATTTATTTTGTTATTATTAGGTTGACAGTAACTAACAATGAGTCATCCAGACCCTTAATAAACAACCTTTTCAATTCATAAGTGACACAATTTCGGAGCATTTATGCCATAGATGATGCAAATGTTTATCACTTTTAACATTGTTTAATTTACTAGCTGCTTTACTTTGGCCTTTGTTACATAACACAATAATTATGTATTTATAACTATATAACCTGATTATGAAGCTATTGAAAACAATTATTCGCTCGAATGCTCCGTCTTCTTAACACACTATTCTCTCCAGGAACTTTCGATAAATTTAACTTGTAGTCTCCAATTCTTGCTGCCAGCTCATGTAGTTCGATTGAAATTTTTCCTGTTAAATAATTCTTAAAGCCTCAATCTAAACAAATCGCTAATCTACTGATTTTACTAGAAAAAAAGCAAAATTTTAAAATGAATATGGTTCTCTGTCTATTAGACAGAGAACCATATCATTTGTGAGTATAATCAAAGGATGGATTACATGAAACAAAGTAGCTTATTTGATACAACTCAGGGTCATATCATTTATGAATTATCAATATTTAAAACAAATAAATCAGATTTATAAGCTAGTTACTATCCATCTTTGCTTATAAAGCTTATAAATTCAGGCAATATTGAAGCAGTCCGCACAGGATGCACATATTCCAACAAGAGACTGATCAATTGCAGTCCTAAATAACAATGGGAAGATACAGGTAAACAACACCAAGAAAATTTCAATCAGATTTAATTTTTAGAGTCGGATTGCCAGTTTCACCATTTTATCTTTGTAAGTCGTAGGCGTCAGCATATCAATATACACTAAAGCATCAACTTATTTCTATGTGCTTTATCTAAGGTAATTCACCTGTATTGAATTTTAGATCACAGGGGGTTTTGTGGAGAATTTAGTATTTTTCATAGTTCAAATCATGAGTCAATTGAAGCTAGACCACCATCGAAAACCTGGAAGCACTGCTTGACGGCCGTTTCGTCCTATTATGGGACTCCCCAGCAGTGCGCATCCACGATGCTGCACTCACGAGATTCGAACCCAGGACCTACTAGTCTCGAACCAGAGCCCTTAAACGATAGAGCGCTGGAGTTCTACAAAGTCAATTGGTGAACGGTCGATCAAAATCGTGGATTGGTTGAAGTTACACATTAACACCGTTGGATGCCAGCTCAGTGGTCTATCGGTTATGGGATCTGGCGCGAGACTGGTGGGTCCTGGGTTCGAATCTCGTGAGTGCGGCATCGTGGATGCGCACTGCTGAGGAGTCCCATAATAGGACGAAACGGCCGTCAAGCAGTGCTTCCAGGTTTTCGATGGTGGTCTAGCTTCAATTGACTCATGATTTGAACTATGAAAAAAATATTAAACTTGTTTAACTTGATTATTGAAATGAATAATCTTAACAAAATATAGATCCTATTAGATTTCTTATATACTCTGTCTACTGATCACAAAAATACAAATTAGAAAATTAAATTTGAATATGAAACATGTGGAAGCCTAACAAATATGAGAGAGCTGTGAACATGGAAAATGACATTTAGCCAAAGTCAATGAATAAAGAGTAAGTCAGTCTTTATATAAGGCGAACGATTTAAAAACTACAGAAAACCATTCATTTACTAGCCAAGTTCACATAAAAAATTTCCAAAGCTAACAAATGAATAGTTAACGATGACAAATAACAAGGGCAGACGTGGAAAATCATAAAACTGTTGACCAGATAAAAATGATCTGTCCATCTACAGGTTAGAGTTAATTCACGCAGACGTGGTGGTCACTAAACTTAAGTCAATTAAAAGCAGGTATGAATGCTACTGAAATCCTAGGAAGATATCAAATATTTTTCAGATTATATTGACTTATCTTTGAGTAGTAACAAGCGCTACTTTTATCTGGTTCCTACTTTTGACAATCGATTAAATGGTAACTTATCTACTAGCATGAGTAACTCGAAATTTGATTCATTATTTAGAAGTTAAATAATTGGAGATGATTGATTCGGAACTTCTCATTTCATCTTGCACAAATATTTTAATTAATATGTTCATAAGTATTTATTCCCTATACATACAATTTCTTTTTTGTGGTAAATATCAGACTTACTTGGCTTCCGTTGATTCCCAGAAGAAGCTATAACACCATAATCTATAGAAATAAAGATGATTAAAAGAAAGGTCTGGTTAGGTTGTTTAATATAGAGATAACTGACATGAAAGACTGATTTGACATTGACGAATGTATATGAGGTGGTTATGGTTGTCAGTTAACTCAGCCTATAGCTCTTCTAGGACTAATCCCTGTCCCAAGACCTGGTAAATAAGGCCTGGGTATAGGGTTAGTAATCCCATCCTATAGAAAAAAAATCTTGCCAGAAAAACACTAACCATAATAAACAATTTAAAACATTTAAACTCTGTCCTGGGAGTTGAAGGATCATGACCCTTCATGGTGGGAGCCTATATTCTTCGGAATTCACGAGACCGATGCACCTTCTAGCAACCAGAGCAACAACTGATACAGGTACAAGGAATGTTCAGACAATGGGAAAGACAGGGATGACCAACCAAATAGCTACGGAAATGAGGAGATACAACTTAGCAATACCCGGAATCGACGAAACCCATTGGACCCAAGATGGACAGAAATGAATAGATTCGGGAGAGACGCTGCTGTACTTTGGTAACGAGAAAGAAAATGCTCCGCACACCCAGATAGTTGTTCTGATGCTGTTCAAAGAAGCACGTAAAGCACTTATAGGATGGGAATCTCATGGATCAGGATCATCAAAGCATCCTTCAAAACAAATGAGGGAATCACAATGAATGTTTTCCAATGTTATGCACCGAACAATCGTAGAGATGACAACGATAAAGATCAGTTTCATGAGTGACTGCAATCAATCATAGCAAAGTGCTCAGGAAGTTTTACTAAAAGCAAAAGTTATTTTCACTGGTACCCCTGTGTGAAAACTGGTGTAAAGCCGATACTGTTTAAAATAGAATAATGCTGTCTTTGTTCTGTTTAACCCCGCTGAAATTATTTATTCATGAATAGTTATAACGTATAAGGGTAGTCGTCAAAATCGTCTGTGCTTTTCATGAATGATTAGACAGACAATAATTGTTGAATTCTGATATAATGAACAATGATCATTGTTTAGTCACTTAGTAGTTAGGGGCCTTTTGTAATTGAATTGATGTTTAATTTTATCAGTTGGAAACACCATAGGAAAAATCAGCTTACTTGTTACATTTTCCACTATTTCATTTAACAATATTTACTGAATAACTCTGGCTCGAGACTGATAGGTCCTGGGTTCGAATCTCGTGAGTGCGGCATCGTGGATGCGCACTGCTGGGGAGTCCCATAATAGAACGAAACGGCCGTCAAGCAGTGCTTCCAGGTTTTCGATGGTGGTCTAGCTTCAATTGACTCATGATTTGAACTATGAAAAATACTAAATTCTCCACAAAACCCCCTCTGATGAATGAAAAAAAATCAAAATAATTATTAGCATATTAGTTCCCCTTAAAAAAAAGGAAAACGATTTTCTCACCTGTAACAAATTTATACTGCACATCATAGCCTAATTCTGAATACTGAATACTCCGGAAGTTTTGTTTCATGCTTATATTATTATTGTCACTATTAATAATATTATTATTAATATTGGTACCATTTCTAGATTGACTGATCTTAAGTACTATATCTAAACGTGGAATATTTCCAGACATGAAACCTTTACTTGCTGGTGAATAAGTCATAAAATCCCCAGCACATAAACGAACAGGATCTAAAGGTGTAGACTTTACAGGATCTGTGGTGAATAAAGGTGAAGATGACGACTGTATGGTAGAGAATGCATTTAAATTTAACGATTTATAACTTTGTTGTGAAACGAATTTAGGATTTAACCTGTTATCTAACAGTCTACTGAAATCATTGTTAGTAGTTAAAACGTCAGCACGATAATTGATCAATTCCAAAGCCATTGAGGTGGGACATCTGTACAAATAAGACATAAGAAAACAAGATTATCCCGAAAGAAGTTATTAATAAGGTTAGTCAAAGTTAACAGATATTTACAATCGGTAAAAAGCTCTGTGAGTTGAAAATTATTTGTATTCCAAAATCATCTTAAATATTAGAAACTAGTTAAGTGTTTATATATGATCAACAATTGTTGTGGAAATTGCTTAATTTCATTGACATAGCTTACCAATCCAATAATTTATGTCCATCCAGTTGTTGTTAACAGTGGCCTAAACATCATCGGTTTCTATCTTTTAAATAGTTAAGTCAAACCTTTCTCATAAAACTGTAGTAACCATAGTCATAGACTATTATTAGGACGTGTCCTAAATACTTTGCGACTGTTCTACCTACTGAAGAACTTTCTCATTGGTTATATACTTGCAGATATTTTATATAAGGGATTGCGGTGGCTTACAGGTTTTTTAGTTTCCCATAACGGACTGACCTTGGTTACACAGTCATTGAAACTAGAAAGGACTGGACAATTAGGTCTCCCTATTATGGATCTCCATATCCGTGCATGTCCGCGACCGCAACAATAATCGAGCTTTGTACATGCAGACCTCACAAAGAGAAATCAGCCTTCAGATCGCCTAGTTGATATTCAGTCACTTAAGTTTATAACCTCGGTCAATCTATCATATTGCGATGTTTTTTAATTAATGAATTAATTATTAATTATTAATTAATGGCTTTATTCAATATTATAATCTGGTACAATATAGAATTCTCAGCACGAGTTATTTCAACAAGTTTTTTTTACCAAAAAAACAAAACAAAAACAAACAAAAAAAACCAGTAGCTACTGCGCCACCACAGGTCTTTTTATTGTTTGATCGATCCTGACGATAGATATTAAAATCACGTAATGATATTAGGCAATCATCCTGTAAGTCAGTTAACCAAGATTCTTGAATTGTGATGACACCACAATTACGATACATGTTTTGACTTAGCAGAAATTGGAGATAGTCCACCTTGTTAATTAGAGATCGACAGTTAGAGTTAAGCAGCTCGGGAATCGACATTTGATTAATGTTTATTCTCTCTAAAGCATATTGCCAAACACCATGATGTCTCTTATTGTTCTTGTTTGTAATTTTTGCAGCGAAAGGACGTAAGCTTTTTATTAACGCGCCTGTATAGGTTATGCGATCAAGAGACATAATGATAGGTTCAAACAAATTTAAAAAAACCCAGATAACTTGTTGAAATATTTAGATGGCAGAAACAGGTAGCCCAGGTATTCAAGCAGGTGTTTATTTTTGAGGAGTACAGTATCGGGATGAAACATTCTTCCAATGCTTGCTGGATTTCTGTCACTGTATAACCATTGAGTTCACATTTTAAAGTATGAAAATACTGTCTTCGGCTTTTGGTTTTGTGAATTCATACTCATATGCTTCTTTAGTGTATATTATTGTGTTACTTTTATTTAACCATATTTTCAAAAATGATTATCAGTCAAAGCCAAAATGCATGTGCTGCCCCACATAGATCTTGTCAGATGAATGAACTGGTATCATAATAAGTGCCATCACAGTGAGATTAGAATTCAGTAAACATAGCTATATATGTCAGAAAATAATCCACGGTTGAGGTTAGTATTTCAATTATAATCAGTGGATGAAGATCTTCAGTGAAATGGCTTAAAATCAGACAAGGCAGGGACGATCGAGTCATTTTCCATCCTTCTTTTAGATTGATTATTGTTCTTAACCCACATTCCGTAAACACATTGCTTCTTTTCTAGATATGTTCAGTCATTCAAGTCACTAATATCTACAACTTCTGCGTTACTCACCTAGTAAATTTCCTCTCTACGAGCTCAAGTGATATAGCTGCATTTGGCTGCTACATTTACATATCAAAACCTTAATTGATTATAACTGGGATAATGATTGATTATAGATTGGGTTGCTGTAGCTGATACTTGATATATATATAATAGACTCGAATGTGTACTTCCCCCTATTTTTGACATTCAGAAATGAGTCAATCCATAGTGCCACATCTAATTTCTTATTCATTATTTCAATGGTGTAACTGAAAGCTTTGGTATCCATACTTGTTACGGTTTTCTGATCAAATGATCCGTCTCGTCATAGCCTATTTAAAAGTAATTTACAAACCAAACTAAAGAAAATAAAACTTCATGTCTTTTTCACTAAGATTCTTTTTGTAAACGTTAAATTTTCATTGTTTTTGTGTTTTAACTGACGCTAAGATAGAAAGAAAAACTAGTGCACATTAGTACTACTAGAAGAAATATTCCAAACACTAGACTTTAGTACCTATGTCTCCCTTTCTCGGTGATAGTAAATTGTTTTGAACACAATTCTACTTGACTGATAAAATAGATCGGTAATTTAAGGAGTGAATGTTAAGAGAGAATAAACAAGAAAGTGATAAAAAGTGATGGAAATAGGTGGAGAGAGAAAAACAATGACCAGGCTATGTTTATTCAGTTAATTAGCTTTAACGAGGCAGACGGTTTTTACGGTTTCTACTTATTTCTCCCCCAATCTGAATAAAGAGTTGCTTAGTTGTTGCCTTTATTTCGCATTTTTTAAGTTGTTTTTAGTTATTTGTAAACCTAGACGTATACAGATATTTTATAAACAAGTAGCTTTAACTGAGTGACCAAAGGAATAACAACTCGGGGTTTTCTGTAGTTTAAACACAGTATAGATCCTATTAATAACAGCTTTTAATGAATTAATCGTTGGCTGAGCTCAATAGCTTGGTGGATATCAGTGCTGAGATACAAGTCCCAGAAACAAGACAGAACGCGCTTCCTAAATTTCACTGCTGTCATCAATACATAGTGGTATTTTTTTCAAAGAAAGTCTTACCTTTAACATTTGAGATTGATTGTATCTATAATGATTAAAATGTTTGGAAAATTCACCCGAATTTGAGCAAGTTTTAAAGATGGGATCAACAGCATTGTGAAGCTTATGAAAAATCGGGTTAGTTACTACACTCTCGCTCGATAAATAGAAACTGATTACCATAATTTGTGGTTGTTCTTGAACATTTGTCACAGGGGAAATCATTTATAGCTTAATGTTGACGTTTTTCGTGTTTTCCTATCTAGCAGTAATATATACACTGAAAATATAATCGTCTTTGGGGATAACTGTAAAATAATCCCTATAATCCTGTAAATTTATTCTATCTTGGATTTGCAATTCATGGAAATAAATTCTACCATTTACATGTAATGGATTCTCTTTCGAATAACAGTGTATTGTAAAATGTAGCAACTTACGAAAAGTTTATAAGATTGTACGTAATCTGAAATACTCACTATTCTAGATCAAACGGAATTTTTCAATCATCATGGCAGAAAGTTAGGATCTCAAAATGAAGTTTCCAGTTATTGATGATAATGCATCACAACTTTTCTGGATCCTGTAAAATACAATTTACTTATCACATTAGTCACTCGTTATCATATTAGGACCAAGGAAAAATATGCATTGGTTCAAACTGCTTCTTCGCTTCAGTATAACGAAATAAAATTAACGAAACGAATAACAAAAGCTTCAAATGTTAGTATTACCAAAGACTAGATGTAGAGAATGAAGTTATAGAATAAGAAATTGTGAAATAATACTGAAACTGAGAATTCTTTGCAACTGATTATAGACTATATCATTTAACTTTTATAAACACTATTCATGATTATCTCATGGATTCCAGATGATTAGTTTACACCCATAACGAGACTCAGTTCATTAGTTGGCAAACCAGTGGGGCGATGCCACTTTACTGATTTGTCCGATTTTAATTACACCACATAAAATAATAAGTATTATTTCATACTGAACTTACTTTAAATCTTTTAAAAAAGATGATTCAATTTCTTGTATATCATATATATCAGGTTGATGTTTTTGTTTATAGATAGAACCGCCGAATTCTTGATTGTATTGAATAAAATCACTCATATAATTCGACACAAGATCATTAACTTCACTTGATGTAATTTGTGATCGTTGAAATTGATGAGTTTGCTGTGAATTATCTAGACGTCGTACAAAACGTATTTGTATACGCTGTCCATAACCACCTTCAAGTTTCCATTTACAGTTGTTTAACTCAGATGGTTTTCTCGTTCTAATCAAATTATTTGGTATGTGAAGAAAACCATTTGATTCTTTGCCGTAACTTGTAATTGTAAATTGACATGTATCTATGAATCACAGACCATTGATTAAAAAGTTCAATGCATGTAAACTTATACTACAGTTAAACAACCCTATAAATAATCTAGGTATTTTGAAACTGTCATCAGCCAATCAGTACACAGGTAGCTAAAATCAAATATTTGTAGCTAGAATTGTAACGAAAATTGATTATGGAGTAGGTGATTTTCACGTTTATACTCCGTATACTGTACATAAAAGTAGAGTGTTTTTACAACACATATTCATGTACTTGGGAGAAGATTAGCCCATATTTATCAATTTTGTTCAGGATAACGATACTTATATAATAATTTCTCTACAGCTCCCATAAATATTTCTTGTCCAATTATATCTCACATAGAATTTGTATCGTAATGAATAAAGGTTCCTTCTTGTTCTACAATCCCACCATGTCAATTTTAGAGTATAACTAAACAATAGAGCTTTTTTTATCAGCCTTAAATAATCAAAACACTGGAATTTATTCGTTAGCTTAATGCCAGCTGGTAACAATTCTATGGTTTCTTACAAAAAACTATAAGCTCCTAATTGAATTTGGGTTAGACTGTCGGTAGATTCTAGCTTTATTCTGTGTAATATTTAGTAGAAAAATGCATGAACATAAGATATACTTATTTATAAATAGTATAACTGTTTGTAAAAATTAATATAAATTCACCAGTATTTTTCATAGTTGAAAGCATGAGCCAATTGAAGCTAGACCACCATCGAAAACCTGGAAGCACTGCTTGACGGCCGTTTCGTCCTATTATGGGACTCCCCAGCAGTGCGCATCCACGATGCCGCACTCACGAGATTCGAACCCAGGACCTACCAGTCTCGAACCAGAGACCTTAACCGATAGATCACTGAAGACAATCAGTGAACGGTCGATCAAAATCGTGGATTGGTTGAAGTTACACATTAACACCGTTGGATACCGGCTCAGTGGTCTATCGGTTACGGGCTCTGGCGCGAGACTGGTAGGTTCTGGGTTCGAATCTCGTGAGTGCGGCATCGTGGATGCGCACTGCTGGGGAGTCCCATAATAGGACGAAACGGCCGTCAAGCAGTGCTTCCAGGTTTTCGATGGTGGTCTAGCTTCAATTGACTCATGATTTCAACAGTGAGAATTTATGATAGCCCATAAATTAATCTCATAATTAAGTTCCAATTCCATTAATTATCAAACATTTTCTAGATAAATATTCAGTCTTCGCACCACTGGGAACTAGTCTTTACCATAGTTTGTCCAACCTTTTGTTATTCATTCACAAGAAAGAGTGCTTGCGTTAATAAATTTTGGTTTAATGAACAGTCGCCACTCAGACAAACCATAAAATTATTTTCTGTTTATTGTACCGGGTTCACCACCGAAAAATGTTATAAAATCTTCGATAGCTTAAACTCCATTTCATCAGTACCGCTACATGTAGGATGTGTTAGAGAACATACAGTTTGGTAAATACGATTATAAATGAATACTTCTCTAAATCTTCCTAGATATTTCTTTGTGTTATTTTTCAGAGAGTTGACCGACGTGTATCAGAGGAAGTATTTAAAGATTTGTCTTAATTTTACGACGTTAGAATAAGTGATTTTATTAAATTGAACAATTTTTTTTGCCAATAACAAAAAATATCCAAGACCAATTTTATCATGGATAGTAGGAAAAAAATAGCCTCACAATTGATTTTTTTTAATTCTTAATTTAATAACGTAAGTTCATGTATACATAACTGGGTACAATAGACAAGTAAAGGATTGATCTAAGTTCTAGTTAAATTACTGATTTTTATTTGATTTAATATTGTTTAACTTTACACAGAAAAAAGTGGAGACTTTTGTTATATCTAGAGCTTTTCATATTTGCTATGCCACGTGCTACTAGACTATTTGAACGATCGAATCCGCAACGTCGCAAGAGAGAAGACAGAAGACTAGTAAGTAGGAATGTTACTCCCAACATAGTGTCAATTATGGTACAAAACTGTCAGGTATTTATAGTTTTTAGTAAAAACGAAATCGTCATTATAGTTATCTAATCCGCACACAGGGGGTTTGTAGTACCGCGATTCGTTAATCGTTTACTTCGATAACTGTTATAATTCTAAACTTAACGGTGCGTGAAATCAGAAGACAAAGGATAGCAGCAACTACAGTTTATTGTCGAATAACTCAGGTCAAAAAGCTAACAACATCTGAGCGAATATCAATGAGCGAGTGAGCGGCAAGCGAGAGAGCGAGTGGACAGGCGAACAGGCGAAGGAAACGAACGAGGAGCAAGCGAGCGAATAGCAAGCAATTACCTAGGCAATTTATAGTCAGATTTGATAAGGGCACAGCAAAGCAAAACAAAGGCTGATAATAATATTTGCGTGCATACATATAAGGGTGAGGAGTATGAGTCATCGAATGATATTTAAGCAGTTAACATTTCGGAAAGTGTCATGTGCTCTAGTGGTATGGCAGTGCAAATAATATGCAAATTGTTACTATCCAAATGACGATGTCTGTTAAGTAAGTTAATAAAAAGGGCTTAACCAAAGCTGACTATAATCGGAATTGATTATAGGATGGTTGCTATAGGTTATTAGTATTGTCCAATAGGGAAGCTACACGTAGTGATTCTGGAATATTCTTCCAAAAGCTAATTGAATGGAATATGTTCGGCTCCTTCTGAGCTTCTAAGAGTTTACTCAACTTCACCTGTGGACCGTCCTCACAATTTTATCGTCTTATGAACTCCAATAGAGAAGGCAATACTGATAAGTCTTCAAACTGAACGCTAAATTTGGTTCTTAAGCTCTTCTAGTAACTTCAAGGCTAAATCTACACAGCAACTTGAACATGAGAGAAAAGACGCGAAATATGGAAGAAAACGCTTTACTCCAAAGGTTCGTTCATGTACAGAAAATGTAAGGTTTTTATAGTATTTTAGATTGCCTCGGGTTGCCGGAAAATGCTGGAATGCTACTACTCCATAAATAGTCCTAAAAGTTGCCATTCATAGTTCACCAGGGGATATAACAATATCATATGTTTGGATAATAGATTCTCAATAGAAAATGACTACAAGATTACAACAATTTGTCTTAACAATATTTCTGACTGGTAAGACTTTTAACTTTCATTTACTTTATATCGTAAACATTTTCGGCCATTTCCACATCTTGGAATATATTTAATTTATGCAACTAGATATTCTAATGTTGTCCGTTCACCGAATAGACAAGAAATAAAATATTCTAAATATTATAGAGCACTTACGTACATCTTATAGTAATCAGCTTCACTTTAGCTTTTAGGTATCTTACAAAATTATGTGAGCTTACACATACGATTAACAAGAACAGTTACCTCATTTAAGTGAAATGAAGATGTAAGCAATTTCATTACATTACACGGATAGTTTTAAAATACATAGCATAACAGTTTGACGAAGATATAAAGAGCTGTCTAAATAATGGAGTTGCAATCAACGACATTTTATTTGTTTGAGTCACATAATATGTAAGCATATCAATATTTATATTCTATCCTTAACTAATTTCTAAAGCTGACTAACTTATTCAGTGCTATGAGCCTAACAGTGATAGTAATGAAGGTTATGAAAATCAGTTTTATGGGGCTCCAGTCGATTACACAGAAGTGTCCAGGAAAGGAACTAACCATCGTGATAGGAGATCTAAACTCCAAGATCGGAATGGGCGATACTGAGTATGAAAATATCTTATTATGACATAGACTGAAAAGAAAGGAAGAGAATAGTGAAAGATTTGCAAATTTATGTGCATTTAACAAAATGGTTATAGGTGGCACAATATTCATCCACAAACGCAAGCATAAAGCTACACAGGTCTCACCAGACTACACTACAGAGAACTGGGTCGATCAAATTTGCATCATCAAAAAATTGAGGTCAGTGGAAAACTTAAGAACCAGGAGAGTAGCTGACATAGATTCAGATCACCACCTGATGGTTGCCAAGATGAAACTGTAGCTAAAGAGGCACTGGAAAACTGGAGAAACAGCTTTACACAGGTTTTATACAGCCATTTTTGAGATGCTGCGGTCAAACTGTAGTTAAGCAACCATTAAAAATCAGGAAGTAGTGGACAATTGTTTCATCTTAGCGTAGGACCGACCCGGAGTGTGCATTCATGGCCCCAACAGCAGTGAAACTAAGGTCCTTGTTACATCTCTCCGATCCTTAACTGTCAGGACGCTGGGTTGAAATCCATTGGTCACTAGTTCCAACCTATATGGAATATTGGGTGACCATCGCATTTTGTGATTGGTGATATCTGTCTGATGACCTACACAGTTGAATCATACTGATCACTACTTATCATTATAAATCCGGGAATCCGCTGTCGAAATTAGCCTCTAGTAAGAACTTGATAATTTTATTAATAAAGTGAGGTTTCGGAAGTTGTTGACTATTGCGGTTTGCCACCATATTTTGACTTTATCTAGACAATCATATCTACTGAAGTCTTGCTAATGTATGAAATATTCGTGTTCATAAATATTTAATTCATAAAGTTAACCCAAATATCCTAGTCAGTACTTTGATATTATACTACTGAATGACTTCTTTAAACAATGGATTCTAATCAGTATATCACTACAATGGCAACTTCAATTATGTGTAATAATAATAGGAGCTCATGGATGTTGATCTTTGAGATTTTTTAAATAATTTATCATAAGCAGTATAACCGGTTTATGGATAGCAATGGAATCCAGGAAGAGAGTTTCATTTTATTTGAAACTCGTTAGGTGTATGTATCAATATTCACAGTGAAGCTTAAACCCTGTATTACTTTGACCTAAAATAACAACAATGCATTACTCAAAATAGCCACCTACTTGTTTAACGGATTCTAAGGGACTAGTAGGAGTTTGTAATTTCCCTTTGTTAACAATAAGGACTGCAACTGATTAATCCTAGGCCTTATACGCGTATTCTGAGTGCATTTTTTCTATATAGACTCTAGCTACAAGTTATAGTATATTTAATATAGCTGGAAGTAAAATCCATGACGTGGGTTTCGTTCTATATGAGATTCCCCAGTAAAATATAAAAGAAGCTGAGTGGAAACCATTACTAATTTATTGGCAACAAAATCCGACCTGAGGCCTCCTTGTGGCACTCCTGAGTAGTAGGGGCAACCTTGCCAGTTAACTTGGGCAGTTGACGAATATCAGACTAATCCACTTGTGTGCTGATCTTGGATTGCTCGGAGTTCACTAATTAAAGCTTTAAAAGTCTTGGCAGCCTGCCCGATGTGTATGCCGATGCATATGAATTACATGAATCTCGGCGTATGTAGTTGTGTATGTAGGTATTGTAAAGGGTACGCACCAGGCCCGTAAAAGGAAGATAATCGGTAAAGCGTGTCTGCCTATGTCGAATAAATTCAGCGGCCTAAGCCATCAGATCGAAGACAATAAAAGGATATGACAGTGAATAATAGGGATAGGTGACCACCTACCCTTCTTGAGAGGGTATTTATGCTCGTGTGTGCGTCTTGAAGTGTATGGACAAAAGTTTTTGTGCCGATGGTATGCATATAATGTGTAATAGATAGTCAGCTGTATCAAATAGTTCAAAGCGGGAGGTGACTATCTACCCTCCCATGTGGATGAATATACCTATGTATATGACAAGGAATGAATGGGTAATGACTTATGTGTTACCGGTATGCATGTAGACTATACTTCTCCTTGGTTTTCGACAGCCAAGCAACAAGACCAGGAGTTCCCTCATGAAATCATGTCCATGCGGTGGGTTGGTGATCCTGAAAAGGCGGATTCTAACCCAGATAAGCTTATGAGCTTTACCGAGAGAGGCTTCACAAGCCTTGAACGTCTGGAACACCACACTAATTTATTATAGATACCAAAAATGTACAAATAAATTCATACTATACAGCATTTATCATTTCGGCCTTTTAAAAAAGTCAATTACTACTTACCATCACCAACAGAATTAACATCATCAATCTTGTCGGATAAATCTTTACGAATAAGAAATAATTTGTTATTATTCTCAGTATAATCATTCCTAGTGGAATATTCATATGACAACATGAAACCCAGTTCATTTGTACTTGTTATATGATCTGTAATAAAATAAATATATACACGATGCATTTCAAATTTATTATTCAACATTATTTGTTCCTGTGGTACTGATGTCCCGCACAAAATTAATTTGGGTGTATTATTTAAATAATTCTGTTCATAAATTTCTATACGATCACCGACAAGCTGCGTACATCTGGATTGGGGTTTTAAAAATATCGGATAGTAAATAATGAAAAATGTAATATTGGGAGACAAAAGTATCAAAGAATAAGATGGAATCGACAAATGAGTAATTATGATGTAGTGATACAAAGTAAAGATTGAATATGTCACCAACACATCTACTTGGAATGCCCAATCATAGGTCAAATCATAGTGTTCATATTAGTTGGCATTATTCAGACAAACAAGGAATGATATTGTTGGTTAATAGCACTGTTTACCAGTATTTTCTTGAATCTCTTTTAACATCATCTACAGTAATGGAGTAATTTTGCAGCGACTGGGCATAAATCATACATGTTTAAATTACTACAGTCAATAAGTTCCATTTTTTTGAAAGTATATTCGATTCGTTTGAAGAGTATTTATTATTTATCATTATTTATTTGAACACATAAATATTGATACAAAGGGACACCGAATACATATGCGCCACACAAGTCACTTGATCTGAGTGTGGGCTGTTATAATGCTCGAGCGCCCAGACCAAAACAGGTGGTTTTCTTAAGGGTTCACATCCGGAGCCTTTGATCTAAAGGTCTGATCCACAAGGTAGTGGAGCAACAACTCCGCCTGTAGCTCTACTAGAGTTACTGCCGGTCCCAAGCCCGGGTAAAGGAGGAGGGTTGGGCATGGGGTTAGCGACCCCATCCCGTAGAAAAGCTAACTCGCTAAAAAAACGCTAACCAGAAAAAATAATTCAAACCATTTAAACTCTGCCCTCCGAGTTGAAGGAATAATTATGACGTCTCATGATGAAAGCCGAAATTCTTCGGAAGTCACGAGACCGATGCACCTTCTAATAACCAGAGCAACACTCTTTATAGGTACATGGAACGTCCGGACAATGTGGGAGACAGGAAAGACCAGCCATATAGCAATGGAAATGAGGAGATACAATTTGGCAGTACTCGGAATCAGCGAAACCCATTGGACACAAACTGGACAACAAAGGCTAGGTACAGGAGAGATGCTGCTGTACTCCGGTCACGAAGGGGAAAATGTTCCACACACTCAGGGAGTTGCTCTAACGCTGTGCAAAGAAGCACAAAATGCACTTGTGGGATGGGAATCTCATGGACCCAGGATAATCAAAGCATCATTCAGAACAAAGAAGCAAGGGATCACAACGAACGTTATCCAATGTTATGCACCCACCAATGATAGAAACGACGACGATAAAGATCAGTTCTATGAAAGGCTGCAATCAATTATAGCAAAGTGCTCACGAAAGGACCTCACCATCCTGATGGGAGATCTAAATGCTAAAGTTGGAGTGGACAACACAGGATATGAAGATGTAATTAGACGACATGGATTAGGAGAGAGAAATGAAAACGGGGAGAGACTTGTAAACCTATGTGCATTCAACAAATTGGTTATAGGCGGCACAAAATTCCCACACAAGCGCATATGTAATGCCGCGATTCGTTAATTGTTTACTTCGATAACCGTTATAATTCTAATCTTAACGGTGCGTAAAATCAGAAGACAAAGGATAGCAGCAACTACAGTTTATTGTCGAATAACTCAGGTCAGAAAGTTAACAACACCTGAGCGAATAATAACGGGCGAGTGAACAGGCGAATAAGCGAAGGAAGCGAACGAGGCGGAAATGGCATGCAGTGGAGATGGCTAGGAAGCCAACTCTATTTAAGCAAGCGTTAATCAACATTTATAGTCGGACAAAAATGAGTGACAGACATATGATGAATAAGATACGAAGTGTACACATATACGCTCATACAAAAGTATAGTCAAGGTTAATAAGCGAATGATTAACAAGATCAAAAGATGACTAAATGTACAGGTGAATTGGCTTGGCCAGCAACTAGAATAAAGTATATGGGATTAACATAACAACCGATACTACACATACACAAAGCTACATGGATCTCACCGGACCACACCACAGAGAACCAGATAGATCACATCTGTATCAATAAAAAATTCCGAAGATCAATGGAAGATGTGAGAACCCGGAGAGGAGCTGACATAGCTTCAGGTCACCACCTGGTTGTGGCCAAGATGAATATGAAGCTAAAGAAAGACTGGACAGCATTACAAAAGTTCAATACAGCCTTCCTTCGAGATATTGACAAGCTCCATGAATTCAAGATAACTCTCAACAACAGGTTCCAGGCTCTACAGGATCTACTGAATGAACAAGAAACTACTTTGGAGGACAACTGGAAAGGGATAAAAGAAGCACTAACTTCAACGTGTCAGGAGGTTCTTGGTCCTAAGAAGCATCATCACAAGGAATGCATCTCTATGGGAACCCTGGACAAAATTCAAGAAAGGAAGAACAAGAAACTAGCAATTAACAACAGCCGAAAACGAGCAGAGAAAGTCAAAGCACAAGCAGACTACGCAGAAGCAAACAGGGAAGTGAAGAAAAGCATTAAAGCCGACAAGCAGAAACACATGGGAAAACTAGCAACGGCGGCGGAAAAAGCTGCAAGAGAAGGGAATATGAAACAACCATATGATACAACGAAGAAATTGGTAGGGAGATATAGCAAACCAGAGAGACCAGTCAAGGACAAAGAAGGAAAGACAATCACTGAGATTCAAGAACAGAGGAAAAGATGGGCAGAATATTTTGAGGAACTGCTGAATAGACCAGCCCCATTGAATCCACCGAACATCGAAGCAGCTCACACTGACCTTCCAATAGATGTCACTCCACCAACGATCGAAGAAGTCAAGATGGCCATCAGACAAATCAAAAGTGGGAAGGCGGCAGGACCTGACAATATACCAGCAGAAGCACTGAAGTCAGACATTGAAATAACTGCAAATATGCTTCACCTTCTATTCAAGAAGATTTGGGAAGAGGAACAAGTGCCAATGGACTGGAAAGAAGGATATCTCATCAAGACACCAAAGAAAAGATATCTGAGCCAATGTGAGAACTACAGAGGCATCAGTTTGTTATCAGTACCAGGAAAAGTTTTCAACAGAGTGCTGCTGAATCGGATGAAAGATGCAGTAGACGCCGAACTTCGGGATCATCAGGCTGGATTCCGTAAGGATCGGTCGTGCACAGACCAGATTGCGACACAACGGATCATCGTTGAACAATCAGTTGAGTGGAACTCATCACTATACGTCAACTTTATTGACCATGAGAAGGCGTTTGACAGCGTGGACAGGAGAACATTATGGAAACTTCTTCGACACTATGGAGTTCCTGAAAAGATTGTCAACATTATCCAAAACTCATACGATGGACTACAGTGCAAAGTGGTGCATGGAGGACAGCTGACAGATGCATTTCCAGTAAGGACCGGAGTCAGACAAGGCTGTCTACTCTCCCCATTTCTCTTCCTTGTAGTGATTGACTGGATTATGACGAATTCGACATCCGAAGGGAAATACGGAATACAATGGACTTCTCAGAATCAATTAGATGATTTGGACTTCGCAGATGACCTAGCCCTCCTCTCTCATACACACGACCAAATGCAGATGAAGACAGCAAATGTAGCAGCAGCCACCGCATCGATAGGCCTCCACATTCACAAAGGAAAAAGCAAGATTCTCAAATACAACACGGAGAACACCAACCCAATCACACTTGATGGCGAAACCCTGGAAGTGGTGGAAACATTCAAGTACCTGGGGAGCATCGTTAATAAACAAGGAGGATCGGATGCAGATGTAAAGGCGAGGATTGGCAAAGCAAGGGCAGCATTTCTACAATTGAAGAACATACGGAACTCAAAACAACTCTCAACTAATTTCAAAGTCAGAATCTTCAATACGAACGTCAAGACAGTCCTACTGTATAGAGCTGAAACGTGGAGAACTACTACATCCATCGTCAAGAAGGTACAAGTATTTATAAACAGTTGTTCACGCAAAATACTCAACATTCACTAGGCGGATACTATCAGCAACAGCGTTTTATGGGAGAGGACAAACCAGCTTCCAGCTGAAGAGGAAATTAGGAAAAGATGTTGGAAGTGGATCGGACATACATTAAGGAAATCACCAATGTGCATCACGACTCAATCCCTAACTTGGAATCCAGAAGGGAAGCAGAAAAGAGGAAGGCTAAAGAACACATTACGCCGGGAAATAGAAGCCGATATGAAAAGGATGAATGTTAACTGGAAAGAACTGGAAAGGAAGGCTCAGGACAGAGTTGGATGGAGAATGTTGGTGAGCGGCCTATGCTCCTCGACGAGGGGTAACAGGCGTAAGTAAGTAAGTAAGTGGAGCAACGTCAGGAGATACAGTCCCATGGTAGCCAATGACCAATAATAGGTTCATACGCCTTTTGTTTCTTCAGGATCCTAGAGCTCATGTGTACCATTAGTTTGGAATCAGGGCTTCCCAACTTCCCTAGTTGGATCCTTCATATCCACCAATCTAGTCACAGCGCCAGATATTGGCTTTTCGTCCTCTCAACTTCGTAAACGACACCCTCACCGCGAGAAGGCAGTTAGTAAGACTTCTCTGTCAGCGTTTGTATACGCGTGCCCATATGGGAGCATTTCGAGAGAGAGAGAGAGAGAGAGAGAGGTGACTCAACTCACCCTCGGCAGTACCAAGGCGTCAACTGTAGTTACAGTTAGGTATAAAAAATGGCAGCACGTTTATTGCCAATTTACTTTTAGAAAGACCAGTTTGTTACAGTTTTCCTTAGAGTGTAGTGTAGTAACACTACTACGGCTAATCTTGATAACGATTAATCCCTGTCTAGCTCCTTGATCTGACGGACAGTGTCGTTGTCATAGTAACCATTCGTTTATTTATTTGTATCAGTAGAATCGCTATCATTACCTATGTAAACGTTTATATTTGAATGCTTATTACAGTCTACACATATTTTTGTCTAACCCTAATTTTGATTGCTTAAATGTAGCTCGATGTATTATTCTCCTTCCCTTGTATATATGTGCTTGTACTATAAAAACAAACTGTGCTTTGATTCACTATGTGTTTATTTGACATGACTACAAATTTTCCTCTATATTTGCTTGTAATTATTCGTTGGCCTTTTTGCTTCAAATCCGCTCTATGTATTTGTAATTCTATAGTCCGCGCGATCAGATAATAAATTGTAGTCTCAGCTTCCTATCGCTTTCTGAATTCAACCTCGTGGAGTCCCTGTAATGACGGTTATCAGGGTGAACTTTTAACGAAGCTACGCGCACTACAGTGGTTAAATTGGAAGTCGGTTCAATGTTTTCAAGAAATTACATAATTCACGGATAATAGTTGAGCACAGACTGTTGGTAAGTATTGAAATAGTTAACTTATGCATGATCACAAATTTAAATGAAAAACAAACTGAAATTATTGGTTACATTCATTCTTGAATCAGTAATAACTCAATCTATAATCCAAACGTATAAATAACAAAACAAAGCCTCATAAATAAATGTCCCATTTTTTTAGTTTAAAGATCATTATTTCCGTTCAAGGAGTTATTTATGTTATTCAATAAAAATTATCTAAATTGTTTACACAGTAACCGATGACTTAATAATAATCAGTATAATGTAGTCTAGAAGTAGTATACGTCAGTATGGGGTTGTAGAGATTGTTAAATTTCGGTGAAATTACGAACCGATCTAAATCAGTGGTAACAGAATTTAATAGTTTAAGTTAAAATCAGACTATCAGGTTAAGTAGTTTTAAACGTTTGTGTTTCTTTGTACTGTTTTTGTAGTTAGAGGTAATGTTCAGTAAGCCTTACTTCCTGCCCTGCGCTCGGTAGCAAGACGTCACAATCACAGACATTAGAACTTGGGTCAAAATTGATCTTCTTTAAGATAGAGATACATAGACTAGCGAGAAGTTAAATATTTCCTGATGTCGTTCAGGAAGTGTCAGTTCTTCCTAATGTTTAGACTTATCTTGATCAAAAATTCCAAATCCCAAGAAAGAGATGTCCAATTAGTCTCCATCCGTATTGTCCCCAACATATAACGTTACTGTATCGAATTACATCGGCTAGTGGCTGCTTAGAAATTATTCGATAAATTTCGTCAGCCGTAAACACTGGACAGGTATCATATTAGTAGCTACTGAATGCTCAATCACGATTAGAATTTCTATTGTTTTTTTTCAGTCACATATATTTGATTCATTTCACCAGCGAATTAGTGTTTGTTCATTTATGTTTCGAATTTTCTCATTAGTGTGCGTTTTTCATTTTGTTAATTAGTGAATAATCTACAAAATTGTAATCCTACAACCAGTTACTTTACACGTGAATTTTAGTCATGTTTATTTTGGCCTCAAACATTTTGTTAATAAGCGTGTGATTTTGTTATAAAAATGACTCATATTTCTTTTGTGAGTTTTTTGGCTTCTGATATTCGGATGACTGTGCCAACAACGTCGACTTACGTGATAACTCATCACTCATGCGCCTCGTTTATTTTAATTCAAACGGTGGTTTGCTCTTCACATAATTCGTAAATAATTTCTCTGTTATTACACAAAGACAGATAAAATAATTGAATTAGATTATCGATGTTTAGCGCGAAAATTTCAGTATGATATCTGTAGTCAAAATAAATCCTATTTTTCCATATTTTACATCACTGACTGACCTTAGTTAGACAGCCATTTATAGTCAGGAAGCACCGGACAACCGTCTCGTCCTAATATAAGGATACTCAGCATTGGGGGATCTGCAAACACACTACTGAGTATTGAACCCAGATCCTGCAGGTGCCTAACCTTTAGATTAATGAGCCAGTATTCAATGATCTCTTTAAACCTCTTCCACTCATAACAGTGATGTGCTTACCAGTGACTAACTTGGAGGTTCAACCCTAAGAGTTCTAGCGAGAAGCAGTGACTAATAGAGTTTAGAAGTGTCAGGTGTGAGGAAGGCACAAACTGAACACAATGGGATAGAGTTGTGCAATATTGTGACCGACTGAAAGTGGCTATATGCACCATGGGGCATCCTTTCAGTAGTTTAATGGTTAGGCGCTTGCAGCTAGATTGGATTCGATACTCGGTGGTATGTTTGTGGGTCCCCCAATACTGAGTAATCCCATATTCGGAAGAAACGGTTGTCCAGTACTTTTTGATTATAAATGGTTGCTTAACTAGGATGAGTCAGTTATTCAAAAAAAATCTAGCAATTTCTACAAATACACCATATTCCTGTCGTTGACCCCAAGACCTTCAGATCTCTGGGTAAGTGCAGTGTTTTTAGATCACTGAGTTGGGATCCGGTTTAGATATCCTCAGAATATATTTTGATATTGCATTACCTCCAAATACTGCGTACACCATAAAAAAGTGTGAACACTTACTTTGGCCAGAATTCAGTCATTTTTATGCTTTATCAAATAGTCCCAGACAGTTCTTGAAATTTCTGTCGTTAAAAACAATTACAATTTAGTAGATGTTTGGTAATCATACTGGTTAATAAAACACGACAAGCATAAACCAACTTACTTGGTACTAGGTAAGTTACTTCCTAACTGAATATCTGAAAATTTCAATCGAAGAAATCTCTTTTTAGGTATATTAATAGTGTATAAAAGTTTACAGTTCTGTGGATAAACTGATGGATAATTCGGAGATTTTATTGTTCCTTGAAGTTTCGATGGATTCATCCAGATGTGGTTTATTTGTTGAATAGTCTTTTTTTGAACTGACGAATCAACTAACCAAGAAAATGGTTAGACATATAGACATATAGTAAAAATACAGCAATACTGCTTATAAATCATTCAAAATAAAAAAATTAAAATCTAATAAAATCAAAATCGATTAAGTTTCATGGAGAATTATATATATTTATACCCTATTTCATCGAAAAGAAATTAAGATCGTCCTAATGCTTCACCTAGGAAATTTGGTTCATTCTTTTTTTGGAGGAAAATGATTAAAATCAAAATGATCTAAGTTGAATAAATAATTTCACATGATGAGTTCAATACTATATGGTTATGATCATGCTCCGTGATAAAAGACTGGATACTTCTGCACCGTCCTCCATTAAGCTACACTGGAAGGTAATTTCTTACAAGTCAGGAAAAATTCTTTAATTCATGACATATGTACCCAACTCCGCCTGTAGCTCTTCTAGAGTTACTGCCGGTCTCAAGCCAGACTAAAGGAGGAGGGTTGGGCATGGGGTTAGCAACCCCATTCAGTAAAAAACTAACTCGCTAAGAAAATGCTAACCAGAAAAAAAATATGTACCCACTTTCAAATGATTCAAAGACATAGGTATCCATATTGAAATGGTTAATTAAGGTAATCTCTTTTTCATGTAGATTTGTTCCCTTGAACGTCTAGTTGACATGAACAGAGGAATAAAGAAGCCATGACAAACAGCAGAAGCTACTTTTAGAGAGGCTATTTCACTAAATTCAAAGCTTGTAGAGCAATAAAATTTAGTTTTGTCCTCCATTTTTCTACGCCAATATGCAGTTTGGACATGATTGTATTGTCCCAAATAGGAAGAAACGCGCGTCCTGGATTCCATTGCTAGCCACCATCCGTCTTTGCTTATAATGCTTGTGAATTAGGGCTATATCGAGGCAATACGTACAGTATGCATATATGGCCAATAAGAGACTGACCAGTTGCCGTCCTAAACATCAATCGGAAGATACAAACAAACAATACTAAGTGAACTCATGATTGTATTCGCCTAAATGTTTGTGCGTTGTGGTCGCGTTGGTCATCGGTTTATTCATCTTTTTACACCAATCAGAATTAAGGATCATAAATAAATCGAGTGGTGTTACAGTTGACTAATCTTCTCTCTCGCTTGTCAACAGGTCAGATGATAGAATAGTTGTTGTCTCCCTGCCCAAGGCCGTTAGTCTCTATTCAAACTCACGCATTTCCAGCTTCATAGTAATCAGCCTATCGTGTCAAGGCCTTAATCTAGATCGAGACAAGTTCTCTCCTGTATATTATTGGGTAAACAGATCAAGGATGTAATACTAGTGAGTGATAAAAACAGTAAGTTTGCACTGAGTATTTCCGAAAAAGATTTTACTCAGCAGTATCCTAGGAATCCTTTGGCAATATTATTAATTCCATGTAGATTTTGTACATATAACTATTCTACATGTTGAAATAAGTATCCAAGTCACTTACTGAAGAAAATTACTCTCAGCATAAAATTGTGGCTCACGGAACAACTCAGTAAAAAACGATTCAGGAGTTTAAAGAGATAATTGATATCAAAATAACTATGAATTAAACATTTATCTAATCATATCTACGTTTTGACTTTATATTCTGAATCAGTTATTCGAGTTTAAATGTGAACAAATCATAGCATGTGTGGATGTAGATGTCATAATTACTGAAATCCGTTGAACAAATCAAGCATTAAACAATAATCTGAATCTCATTACTCATCTTAATTAACATAAAATTCAAAATAGACAGGAATGGATTGATCTTTTCAAAAAATACCGTTGATAGGAACATAATTATAGGACTTTGTATTGTTATGTTGATTCACAAGAACTGCAGAAATACTCAAAGTTTGAATTCACTTAGTATTGTTTGTTTGAATCTTCCCATCGATGTGTTTAGGACTGCAACTGGTCAGTCTCTAATTGGCATATGTGTATATTGTGCGTATTGCCTCGATATACCTTAATTCACAAGCATGGTAAGCAATCAGTCAGTCAGCTACAACGTAGGACCAGGCACATATATGCAACGGTCCAAGTTGCCATACCTCGTTAGCACAACAAGACCGGATTCATAGAAGTAATTAATTTAGTGGTGGTAGTATATCAAGAAAGGTTGTATATAAGGATATAGTACAGGAAGGAAGAGAGATATGAAGCAATTTTAATCTCAAGGTTTAAGGGAAGATAGAGAGTGTATACACCGACGCCATTGTGATCGATTCTGAGCCATGTCACACAGAGTCTCCAACCATTGGTTACGATGGTTACGCGGGCCCCAACCAAGTAGTCTGCATCTGCCAACATGGCTCAGACTAGAAGTTAGTGACTTCAAACACTGATGCCATGTTTTGGTTTGGCCAACCCTAACTCTCTTCCAACCATCCTCTACACTAGTCAGCATAGCGCGTCGTGGTAATCGGTGTTCATGCATACGTAACACATGGCCCAACCATCTCAGTCGATGAAGATTCATCACCTCATCAACTGATTTACCATCGTTCCCTAATACCCTGCGTCTAACCTCACTATTACTCACCCGGTTATCCCAGCAGATGCGAGCAATATTTGTAAGACATCTGTGATCAAATACTAGTAACTTACGAGTATCTTCTACTCTTAATGGCCATGTTTCACAGCCGTAAAGTAGAACAGAGAGAACTGCTGCGCAGTATACTCGTCCCTTAATTGATAGACGGATATCTCGTCTTCGCCATAGGTGACGTAAGTTGGCAAAAGCCAAACGAACTTTTTGAATCCGTGCTGAGATTTCGTCAGACACCAACCCATTAGGGCTGATCAGACTTCCAAGATAAGTGAAGTTGTCGACACGTTCGACTAATAGATGTGACTGCTGTTTCCACAGCTGTTCGTATATCTTTCCAAGCAGCATCTGGGTCAGTCTCGTTTACAGAACTGCCTAGATGTGAACTCAGTTGTTTCTGGAATTCGCATTTGGCTTTCTCGTCCTCCAGTTCAATCCTAATTGGTCTTCTTAGTGTAGTTTTCCTGCGTCTATTGAGGCGCAGACAAATACGCGATCGTATTAAAGCGTGATCAGAGTCTAAACAAGTATTCCAATACGAGCGACAATCTTCTGTTGAGCCTCTCCAACGATGACTGATGGCAATATGGTCTATTTGAGTCCATCGTTGGTTTGGTGCAGGTGGTCGCCATATTAGACGATGTTTCTCTTTGTGCTTAAAATTTGCTTGCTAAAAATAAACGATTGTCTGAGCATAGTTGCAACAGACGATCACCATTATCGGTTCGTTGAGCCGGAATACTAAAACACCCACCTAGATGTCTTTCTGTTTGATTCAAGCTGCCTACCTGGGCATTAAAGTCACCCGCTACGACTACTATGTCTGAGCGCTTAGCTTTCTGAAGAAGCTCAGAGAGCTTTCTGTAAAAGTCATCTTTTACTTCATCATGGCTGCAGTCAGTGGGAGCGTAGGCAGAAACGACGAAAAGGCAACGATGTGTGTCCCTATCCTTCCGAGTTCTTACGGAGCCATTTAGCCGGACAGCACACAGGCGACTGTTAACGGGGATCCATTCTAGTAATGCCTGTTCTGCCCTTGTACTTAGTGCTATGCCTACACTTGCAAGTCCGCGAGAACTAGCCAACGGGTCGCCAGATACACGGAGGGTGTATTTCGTTGGCTGTCCATTTTGGCGAGGTGAGGTCAAGTGAATGACCACACTGGGATCCTGTATGCGTGTTTCGGAGACACAGCATACATCAATGGTACGAGATTCTAGGGTTTTAGCTAAGGAGGCCTGTTGACCGATTTGGCATAGGGTACGTACGTTGAAGGCTCCAATGTGTAGTTTGGAGCGAGGTTTTAGTAGACCTGGGACAGCGCTTTCGATGGTGGTCTAGCTTCAATTGACTCATGATTTCAACAGTGAAAATTAAGAATTAATGGAACATGTATAAATCAGGTTAACCGTAAAGGATCGTTAAATGAAGCCACTTAGACGCTATATAAAATTATTAATAATTTTTCAGAAAGAAGCTAATAATGTTTATCATTGGGTTATCTTTCAAACAGTTATTCTTAATACAAAAATGTTGTTCAGTTTAGCTTTTGTAAATGACATTGCAAACGTTTTTTTAGAAAGTCTGGAATTATATTTCCAAATCGACAGTTCCCTTTGTTAAACACACTAGACGAACAATAAAAAACTGTATGCACATTTCCTTTCACAAGTGAATATTATTCTTTTAATGTTAAACCCGAAATAGCTAAACGTTAAAAAAACCCAATATGGAATATTGGTTGAATTAACGGTCGTCCAGTGCTTCCAGGTTTTCGATGGTGGTCTAGCTTCAATTGACTCATGATTTCAACAGTGAAAAATGAGATTTATCACTATATTGAAACATTCTTATTACATTTGGTATGTACAATTGTTAGACAGATTAGTGTTAATTAGATGGTATATACATTTAATCAAACGATTAAATGTATTTCAAATATGCGAACGATAATCACATTTCTATTATGATTCTCAAATGGTTTTATAGCTTAATCACTATGGCATGATAATTGTTTAGTGTTTGTTCAGTTGACCTTCCCCATAGAAATAATGTTGTTGTACTAGTGAACTGATCTTAGTACATTGATGTACCGTGACCATCTAAAGAAAATATTAGAATCATCTTATTAAATTCCCTTGATGTTTAGGACTGCAACTGGTCAGTCTCTTATTGGCCATATGTGCATGCTGTGCGTATTGCCTCGATATAGCCCTAATTCACAAGCATTATAAGCAAAGACGGATGGTGGCTAGCAATGGAACCCAGGACGCGCGTTTCTTCCTATTTGGGACTCTTCAGCTGGATGTACCTGCATCTCAGAGTTGGTGTTCACTCTGGGACTCGAACCCAGTACCTTTCGCTTCATACGCCATCGCGTTATCCACTCATCTATTCAGGACTCAGTAGCTGTAAGCCGTTAATCGATCTTCGGACGCTGGTCTATCCGGCTGGTAC